TTAGCTTCGGCGCCTGACTTGGGACCACCTGGAAAAGGAAAAGAGTTCGGAAGTCTGAGGTCGAAATGAAAAGAGGTCGGAAGTCCAACAACACGTGAAACTGAGGGCGCAAGGCAGGCAGGTCCGGCGGGTGGAGCGTACGGCGGACACCGTACGGCACCGAGCGGAGGCACCGGAAAACCGAATGGCGGCGCGGGCTGGGGCGGGGGTTCTGACAGAAGGGGGTTTGGGCGGTGGCGGCTTCAGCTCCTGCTGCTGCAGGAGCAGCAGCAGCAGCCGCTCCCGATGAAAGGAGTTAAGTGCAAAGGCAAAATTGTTCATCACAATCATGCGTTTGGGGGCATGCGTAGTTGCTAAGGTTGCGGACTTCCTACAGTACGACATTGTCCTTTCGGTCACCGCCGCCACAACCGCACTATAAGCAAAAGTACGAATCATTGCCCTTCCCAATCGCCAGCGTCGTCGTCGTAACATCATCACACGACCATTACTAGCTTGGTGCCACCAAAAGACAGCTCACCTCCGTATGCGACAGCTGCCCGTCCCCAGGCACTGAGGTGCGCACAGGTCGTACAATGTTTTTCAATTCAGCCGTCGCAGAGGCGCCGGCGGGCCGGACGCGCCGCCGCTGCCGCCAGCAGCCGCAGCCGCCGGTAAGCCCTCCCTCACCTTCACCACCACCGCCACCGCCACCACAAGCTTTCCTACAAAACATCTTGCCGCCCGCACCCGGCTTGGGTCGCAGAGGGGGCAGTTGCTGGTAGTTAAGATCTGCGATGCGTGTACGGCGGAAAGATGTCCCGCACATTCGCTCCAGCGACAGGTCGTGAAACACTACCACTCTGCCGTCGCGTGTCAGCTTATGGGGGAGGGAAGGCGGCAGGGGGCGGCAGGAGGAGGGCTTCGGACGGCTTTACATGGTGGAACGGTAGAGAGTTTTTCCAGGAGGAAGAGAAGGAGGGGGAGGGGAGGGAGGTGCTCACATACGAGGGGAGCAGCGAGGGGTGAACAAAGGACAATAAAGGGGGAGGAGCGGCAAACAAGAGAGATCAGCAGACGGAGCCAGAACATTAGACGGCTGCGCAGCTGGCGGAATGCATGAAACATGGGCCTACAGGTAAAGGTGAGAAGTTACTTGTTACCTCACTCACACGTGCCGCAGTACACGTCGCATATGGTCAGAATATAGTGTAGCAAGCGGAAGCAAGCATATAGTATATATGGTCAAGCAGTATCGAAAGCAAGAGCAACAACAGCATCAGGTAGGCAAATAGGAAGGCGGGCAGGTAGGCTTCACACACACACGGAACTGGGCATAAGGGAAATTCAAGCCCAAACAGGCAGCAAAAGACGAGCCCGGTTGGCCGGACGTGCTACGGTCATCCATTTCATCCGTGCCGAACAAACGCAACCTTCAGCGTATTCAGTACGGCGCAATACGTGTATCATGAAGTCTTCATCGTACAGTACGGAACTGTATGTGAAAAATGTTTTATACCTGTACGTCCAGCTCCAGGAGGTCTGCTCCCACGGCCACGCTGTGCTGGAAGGCCTGAGGGCGGCAGGCAGGCCGGGGAGTTTATCGAGACGTGGGAGTTAAGGGAAGCGAAAAAAAGAAGCGGTGAAGCGGCGGGATAATAGGAAGGGGGATATGAGGCAGGACAAGAACGGGAAGAACAGGCGGTATAAAGGGGCCACGGAGAACGGTACGTGGGGGGAGAAGGGAGGGCCGAAATGGGAGGGACGAGCCACAACGTGTCAGCTGATGGATAGATATGAACCAGCCTGGAGGATTGGAGGAGGGGAGATATCGGTCATCGCTAGCACTGGCGATGATCTTTGGCCCTCTAGTACCTTCCAGTATTGGTGTCTGAAGAGGAGGAGGAGGAGGAAGAGGAGGCGTTATTCCGTCGGCTCGCATATGGACCGGGCCAGGCGTGTGTGAGGCTCGGTTTGGATCTTAGGATGGGTTGCGGTGGAGCAGGTCGGGCTCTGTATTTATCGCAGCTGCGACACCAGGTTGTCCACCGCCACCAGAAGCGGGGCCCCCACTGTCACTCCGCCCCGCCCTCGATCCCTATTGTCCCCCACCCACCCTCCCAAAGACCCACCCCGTCATAATCACTCAACCATCACTGCTTCGTACAGGTTTTGGGGATGATTTTAAAATGATGAAACAAGCCCGTACTGTAGTGCGGATTGGCGCCATATCAGCGCCATCATCGCCATTCATGATCATCGCCACTTCTCTCACCGTGAGAGTGTTCTCAATCAGCGGAAGCTGGAGCGCGCAAGCGTAGCAGCTACATCGCTTCGACGTTGACTGCTGATCCCCCCAGGATTCGCCGGCACATGGATCACATGGAACGAAAAACGGGTCCCCGCGCATGCTACCGCCAACGCCACACGCTGCGGTGGCGCCGCTGCCGCTGCCGCGATGGAGTCCATAGCGACCCGACGCAGCGGTGCAGCCCTCTGAAGGCCGCGACGGCGCCAATGGCTGCGGTTGCGACGGAGGCGGCGGGGGCGGTGACGGTGGCGGCGGCGGCGGGGGCGGGGGCGAGCTGGTGGCTGTTTGGGTTCCTGTCCTGAGGCCAACACCCGCCATCGCCAGGATCGCACCTTTGCCTCCGCCTCCACGCCCGCTACGACCACCACCGCCACTACCACCACCATCACCGCCTCCTCCTCCAACCTCCGCACCTAGGGTGCAATCCAAACTGCCGCCGCGATGGCTGTACACCGCAATGGGAAAAGAGATCCGGGGAGTGGGCTGCGGACCGGGCCCTCTGCACGTCATCATGGGCGCTATACATGCCGCCGGCGTTCCGCCACATGGCTCCGATGTGACGGAACGTGAGGACGGAACGTGAGATGCGCCGGGAACAGGAAGGCAAGAAGCTGTGCCCGCTGGCCCTTGACGACAATACCCCTGGCGCTGGTCGCGGCAGTCTTGGGGCTGCTGCCGTGGCGGCTTCTTCAGCTGCGGGTTGTCAGCGGCCGTGTTCTTCTTCCTCTTCTCCTCCTCCTCCTGCTGCGTCTGCGTCTGCCGCTGCTGTTGCTGCTTTCCCCGCAGCAGGTACGCCCGTCGCGACTGTTGCGGAGGCGAGGAGGGGCTAGACGCAGCGGAGGCGGGCTCCCCGGGTTGGCTGCGGAAGGCCGTGCCGACGGGGTCACGGTCCACCAGGAGGGGGTGCAGCAGCAGTAGGTACAGCAGCAATAGAGCATGGAGGATGCAGGACCATGCGGCCTGCAGAGGCGATGCATAGGTGGTAGTACGTGGCGGGGATTGGGATTAGGGTGAGGGCGAATTGCGGTGGATGGCTCGTGGGCTGTTTATTTCCTCTGGTCTATTACTGGGTTGGGTCAGTTGCGGTGCCCTTTAAGCCCAGAGGACGGGTAGTAGGAAGGTGCGATGCAAGAAACCCAAATCCATGCCGCCTGTTCAGGAAGCGTGGTAGTGCATGGTTGACTTTGGACAGAGAGGAAAAGAAACCTGTGAGAAAAAAAGATGTTGTGCCCTTCACAAAGGGGATACCAGATGTAACAGCAGGATTGTAACAGCACGACGGAAAGGTTGCCATGCCGAATGGTGCCCACAACCCCACCCGTGAATTGCGTTTTGCGATGTTTTTGCCCTTTATGTACTAACAGTCTGGATAACTCGGAGTTAGTTCAACATTAATTTTCTTTCAGGGGGGTTAGGATAACAGATTTTCCTGTGCGTTTTCACGACATAAAAAACCTATTTCGGACAACCTTCGGCCCTCTCAGGTCCCTTAAGCCCGCAGGTCGTGTGGGTCCCTAGGTCATACATTTGAAGAGCAACGCAACTCCAGGTGGGGTATAACACAAACACACACACACACGCACGCACACACACACTATTAATACGTGCCGCGCCGTGCTCTCCGAGCGCAGAGATCCATTGCCGTACACAGGAGCGCTCACCGCAAAGGGGCGCACCAACGGCCATCGCAAGCAGGGCGACAAATTGGACAGCTCCATAACCATGAAACCGCCTACGACGAGACGAACGTTGTTGTCAGTCAGCAGGCCTTGGCGGCAACTGCTACGCGTTGCTGAGAGCGACGGAGGAAGCGCAGCTTATGTGCTGCACTAGGAACACTTGGATGTCGCAATCTATGCAATGCAAAGCAGGTCTCAAACTGTTGAGGTGGAAGCAGCCGTTGCGGGTAGTAGTGCGCCAGGTCGCCCTAGCACGTGGATGGGATGGGTAAAAGGAGATGTGTCAGCGGATTCTATAGACCTATAGGGGCGAACCAGCGGCGCGGAACCGCAGATGACGGGTTTTCAGTTTCCCTCTGACGCACTTGGAAAGAGTCCAGCACACGTGGGTAGCACCCACAATCAGCGCAGTCGCTGCAGCACTCTGGGCGGGTGGCCAGCCAGGCAGACGAGAAAGAAAGAGCTGTTTCGGACGGCTGTCGCTGACTATGAGACGCAGCACTTCTTTGTAAAGGTAGACGCGATGCAACAGCGTTGCTTTCCCGTCGGTGGAGATGCAGCTGGTCGCAATGTCACTGCCTAAGCGATCCGATGGCGCCGCATTTGCTACGCAGGTCCGTGCGTTCAGTGTGGCGCGCTGTCATAAGGGCCCAGCTGTACAGCGCATGTGGCGTGTGATGCAGCGATCTTGGTCGTTGTAGGGTGGGGAAGCTAGATAGCGGCGTCAACTTCCTGTAGCATGTGGATGCGAAAGTAGCTTCGCGCTTCTTTCCCAAGCTATGGTAATCATGGGTCACAGAGCCCTTCATGGATTGCGTTCTCGCCTCCCCGCGTCAAGGCGAGTCGCTAGATAGACATCTGTCAAAGCACTCCCTTTGCGACCGGACCGTTTGAAAGACACGCCGAGCTCAGCATTTGCATGCACCACGATGTGGTAAAGGCATGGTACGTTATGAGCAGTGTTTTGCATTATGCCGGGAAATGGGACCCTAAGTACAAGCTATAATTACCGCGACAAAAAATACGGGTTATTTTTCTGTTGCCGTTACAATAGCATCTAGTCACTGCTCTGATAAATGCATCTCTTGGATGCAACGCGGCGCCGCATAAACGCCACTTCTACAACAAGACAGCGTGGCTTCTGCCCGAGGCCCCTGGCCGATGAGGCTCCTGACGGCAGCAACACTCCTGCGAACGCGTATACACTCAAGCTATTCGGCCCACAAGCCGGTATTCCTGTGCATACAAACCCCCAGTGACGCTTGCGCTTTAACCATGTCCTACCAGAAAGTTCGTCACAAGTTAATAATATGTCACCAGCTGCGGTTCGTCAATCCTCCTTGGCTGCATCCTACTTCGTCCCCCGTACGACCTCTCAACGCCCCGGCAAAATTGCAACCCTAAAACGAGGATAATTTGTCAGTCAACGCCCTGCCCTGCTGCTTGCCCCACCCACAGCATGCAAGTAGCTCCCTTGGCTTGGTTATGCACACGCTATACTCCTTTCCCTCCCTCCAAACACACGATTGGGGGACATCAGCTCGGTGTACTGGGTGGTTGGCAGCTAACCGCTCCGGCGGCGGAACGGTACGGTACTGTGCCCTGCCTCGCACCGGTAACCTTTTGAACACTGCCGATGAGTGAATACTCATCTATGGCCGGACGACAAGCAAAAGCTATCGCCACTTCCGAGTGTTATTGAACCACAAAACGGTGACCCGAAGCAGGACATGCCACACAGACTCTGCGTTAATTGCTAATTGTAATGAAGGCAAGACGCACAACCGCCCAGTTGCCGTCACAATTGAGCAGCACAAACAACAGCCCATCTCCCCACACTGTTTCTATCACTCCTATTCTCAGGACTTCCTTTGGCCCATCCCCATCACTTAGCTTCCCGAATCCGTTTTGTTAAGCAAAAGCAACACAAAAAAGGACGCAGCCCCAGTGGAACCGTTGCAGCAGCCACTCCCCTACACACAAAAAAAAAACGATAACAAGCACCGCTTGGGAGCAATTGAATGCGCAGAAACCTCCCCGAAGCACAGCACGCAGCCGAGTAGGATACAGAGCACCCTGGGTCAGCCCAAAGCATTCTCACCCTACGAGCAAGCACGCTTTAATCTTCAGCATCCGCCGCTGCTGCGGCTGCAATGGTGGACATTATTGGCACCGTCACGTCAACGTGCACGCCGGCGCTCTCGCCACCCATGTCCACGCCGTCCAAGTCGTCATCCTCCACCGGGGCTGCCACCGCGGCAAAGGCGTCCGGAGGAACGGAGTACACGCGCAAGAGCTCCTTGTTCGGGTCCTGGACGCACAAGAGAGGTGCAAGATATAAGCAGGGAACACACCATCAAGTGTTACTAGCAATGATGCTGAACGCCCCATGGTGGGAACCAAGAAGGACACATAAACACCAATGCCTCCAAGCAGGTCCAGGTCCGGGGAGCAGGCTGGGGCTGGATTGATTGGCGGCGCACGCTGCTGCCCGATGTCACAGTTAAAGGACACGAGGGACCAGATAATTGAGCTGCACACAGGCGGGACATAAACGCTAGTCGTGGGAAAATGGATGAACGCCTATGTACAGGTGCTGCCACTATCGTCACACCCATCCCATCGCCCACCTTGACCAGGAGGTAGGTGCCTTCGTCCAGCGCCAGCAGCATGTCGCATAGCGCCCGCACAATGCCCCAGCAGTTGTCCATGTCCAAGCTGATAGACCGGGCCGCGTCGCGCGGCTTGAGAGCCTGTAGCGAACCATTCATAAGAGGTCAAGGGTCCGCGGAATGTGGCGCCAACAGTGCTGGATGCCCAGAAAGCGAGGTTCGGCCCCATTTTAGGCATTAATTAGACACTACACGCAACCGTATTGGTGACACAAGACAACCTAACCCTTCCAACCAACGTGACAGCTCCGTGCTTCATACAGAACAGTATGTAATCTGAAATCTGCCGACCAGGCAGAAGAATATCCTAAGTACAGCTTTAGGGCTCAGTTCTTCCTATTGGTCCTCAGGCCACGGTTCACTCAGGGAAACCGTGTATATCGGCAGTGATGTCGTTATAGGTTGTCGTCACAGCCCACTACCCTCCTGGGGTTGTCGGTTGCCTGAAGTTTTCGTACAACCGTCGATATCCTCGCTGACGAGGAAACGTGCGACCACAATTGCCACTGCTGTGATTGCCGTAGCTAGCGCACAATGTCCTAGATGTCACAAGTGCACGTTTTCCTAGGCACAGATTTAAATGATCATGCGGATCAGTGGTGGGCTCAGTTCTTCCTATTGGTCCTCAGATCGCGGCCTGCTTTTACAAGCCGCGTTCATCGGAAGTGATGTCGTTAAGAGTTGTCGTCACAGCCCAGGACGCACAGCCGCAAATATTTCCCCCGAACGTTCCGGAGGCAGTCCAGAAACAAGAAAAAGGCGTAATGGTTTCTAGCAGTTCATGCACATGGCACCCCGTGAGTGGACTAGGCATTCCCACAAACGGCGTAAGCTAGTTTGTGATGGGCTCAGGTCTTCCTATTGGTCCTCAGCACGGTCCACAATGGGAGGCCGTGTGTCCTCGGAGGTGATGTCGTTAAGGATTATCGTCAGCGCCCATAGGTAATTAAAGCTCACTTGTGAATAGACCCTACTGTTCCAGAGCCGAAGGCAAAATATGCAAAATTCCGGGGACAGACCCGCGAACGCATATGGAAATCGGATTCTAAGAGTATTTACTCCTACCCGTGTTCGCACGAGCATAAATATAACTCTGACAAGTCCAAATGTACTTACATGCATGGCCAGGACAACATGATTGGACACGTCGCGAGGCGTTGCGCGTGAGATAAAGCCCAGCTTGATCTGGTCCGCCCCGCTCAGCAACGCCGATGCCGTCCACTTAGCCACCTGAGACCAGAAGAGAACGAAGACACTTGCAATGTGCTACGAGGTGGTACTTGCGGGTGAGGGATAACTAGGCGGATACACACTGATGCTCAAGCAAGCCTAAATATGCTATACCTAAGGAGCAATCAAGCATTAACTCAGCAGCCCGCAAAACCCAACTTGCGACAAGTGGTAAATGCCTTGGAATTTTTCCAGCATCACTTGGCTGGTGTGGCTGGTTCAAAACAGGCCAACGCGAGTCGAAGGCGCCAAGTGCTAGCTCGGGGACTTGGACGAAGGCAGCAAGATAAAATAAAGTAACCCGCGAGAACTAGGATTTCGCACCTTGAACTTGTTGTTCTTGGTCTCTGACAGCAGCACAGCACCCTTCTGGTTCTCCAGGCGCTTGCGGTAGTCCTGAGGTGGCAAGAGCCGCAATGACAGGAAGAAGGTAAGCACAATACCTTACGCCGGCTCCCGATCCTAAGACGCCAATGCTCCCAAGCTCACTTGCCCTTCAGCAATCCATGGTATCGCGCACATTACAACAGGCACGTTGGTTAAGAGACCTCAGTGACAATGCTGTTTCTTAGCACATAGTAATCCAAGCCTGCGGCAGTAACACACACCTGGCTCTTCAGGTCGTACTCGTTGAGCGCCTTGATGAGTACCGTCTGGGGCGCAGCACCCTCAGCAGCGCGCAGCGCAGCGTCCACCTCGCAACGCACCACAATCTCAGGTGCATCGTTGCCGCTGGCCAGCCGCCATTTCCGGTATCTGCGTTACACCAAAACATGGCAAGAAATGGAGCCGAAAAGCGTGTAGAGCTGACAATACGGCTTAGGAAAACCATCCGCTGCGCGCACTGTGGCTGACATCCTCCATTTCCGTAAGGGCGGGACGTGACACGACTATAAGCGTGTCCATAGAGATAGCAAACATTCTGTAAGAAAATACCATGCAACACCAGGATCATGTTCCGCGTGTGAAACTAGCAGCTTTGGACAAACCAGTCCAAGCTGTTCAGGGCATGATAAAACATTTCGACCGCCGGTGCGTGAGCGAAACGCACGCATTTGAAGTATCCCCTGATCCGGCGATAATTCCCATGCCTTACTTGTATGCACAGCTGGCAAGCATGCCGGCGTCGCTCGGCGAGGCGAACGGGTTGGGCTGCCCGAAGTCCAGCCTGCCGCCGTCCTTGATTAGGACCTGCGGAGAAAACCACGAATCACAGCGCATTACGTCAGACAAGCTGCATCAACAACTTGGAGGAACTGGGCTGGAGGTGCTGTGTTTTGGGCTCAGTTCTTCCTATTGGTCCTCAGATCGCGGCCTGCTTTTACAAGCCGCGTTCATCGGAAGTGATGTCGTTAAGAGTTGTCGTCACAGCCCAGGACGCACAGCCGCAAATATTTCCCCCGAACGTTCTGGAGGCAGTCCAGAAACAAGAAAAAGGCGTAATGGTTTCTAGCAGTTCATGCACATGGCACCCCGTGAGTGGACTAGGCATTCCCACAAACGGCGTAAGCTAGTTTGTGATGGGCTCAGGTCTTCCTATTGGTCCTCAGCACGGTCCACAATGGGAGGCCGTGTGTCCTCGGAGGTGATGTCGTTAAGGATTATCGTCAGCACCCATAACCAGCTCAATACGAAAGGCCAAGGACTTGCGCCAATTGCGGTGGATTGGCAAGGGCAGACACTTAGTACAGACAAGGATGCTTCCAGACTGTACACCGCTCCATCGCTGACATGCCCCTCGCACCGTGGCCCTTGGTGACCCAAACGTGGGCTTAAGGCATTACACATGCACAAATAGCCCCCATGCGTGACTTCTCATGCGCCAGGCCTCTTCCACGTACCTGCTGCGAGAAGTTTTGGTTAATAGCTGTGGCCTCCAGTGCCAGATGATGCATACCGTTAATGTTGTCCTTGTCCTGAGGGGGGCCAGGAGCAAAAGGTAAAGCACCAGCGGAAGCCAAAAAGGCGGGCATCGAGCCTTATGGAGCCTATTCACTACATAAATAACACTGCGTGCTGTGGACATGCACCGTGTCGCGCGAGTTGCAAGTCCACATGCCGATATGCGGAATCCCAGGCGTGCTGTGGGCCCGAACATGCGCGGAAAGAGGCTTCGTGTTTCGGCCCATACAATACATTCTGTCATTGTCACGTGGGTGTCCACGTGCAGTTCGTTCAGTAATTTACTCCTCCAACCCCACGTCCTAGGTCAAAGGTAGCTAGGAAATACAAGGTAATGGGCAAAGTCGACCCAAGGTGGTCATGCACCATCGTAAGTGCAGTCCTCAACCCTCACCTCGGGAACCGCCTCAGGCGCCGTCTCATTAACCGTAAGCAACGTAAACTTGGAGCTTGCCCGCCAGTCGAAGAACAGCTTGTCGCCCTGAATACGAAGGATTGCGCGAAATGCCAGAGAGAATTAAGGGCAGCAGTATCCGAAACACAGCCGGCCAAGGGCAAGCAAGCAACGAGCATACCTGGGACCGTTTGCGTGCATCATGCGGATGGTGGTGACGTTGAAAGCGGATAGGGGCATCACGCTGTGCCTTGGGAGGCGTGCACCCGCCTGCCCTCACCCCCAGCCGCAATGACAAGAGTGTGCCTCACATTCATGTCATTCGCCCAATCCCGGGCATCACGAAATATTGCAAAAGGACATTGCCCCACTCATAGATTTGCTAACAGGACCTTTGAAGGGCGACGCGGAAAAGCACTGAACGGAAAAGCCAGCTGACCGCATTTTTTGCGCGCAAAAAGCACACCGCACCTTGCGGGTGGCCAGCAGGTCCCAGCCGTACTTGGACGACTGCATGCACATTAGGTGCGTTAGGATCGAATCGACGGCGAACACGCGCGCCTTGCCAGAGGAAGCCAGCTGCTGCATGATGGGGTCGTCCGATGTCGTAACAGTCCGAAAAATGCGCTTCGTCTTCTCCAGCGGCTTCTCCTTCTTCACCGCCAAGTTGTCGTACGACTGCGGGGACGGCGCACAAAGGAAACCAATGTGAAATGAATTTTCAAACGAAACGACGAAACATGCGGCACATCATAATCATGGGAAAAAATCTCCCGCCGCAACAAGGCGTCTGAACGCAGTCATAAGTCCCATTAGCATAACCCAAGCTGCACCGTGGAATGCTGTTGCCATATTCGGTGTGTTTGGTTGAGAGTCCGCCAAGCAATAAATAGTGACCCGAGCCCTGCATCCCAATAACGCGTAGCATGCTCACAGTACAGTATGCTAAGGCATCGCACCGTGCCCCCGAAAAGAACAGCCGGTCCTGCCCAGTGTACACCAATAGTGCACCAAATTCTACCGGCCGTATACTACTGTAGCGCCGAGCTGACAGGTCCTGCGATAGCTGCTAGGTCACCTGAACCCCAAGCCGGGTGAATATGGCCTCAATTCCAAGCCCACCGTGCAAGTCGATGGCAAAATGCTCAACATCCGGAAATTTCTCCCGCTGCGACTGGCTTTACTCTTCCATCTTAATACTAATTGTTGTCACCTCCCCGCCCATTTCTGAAGCCCAAGTTACGAGCTCAAGTGCGCAGGCGGTTCCAGAGCCGTTAATCCCGAAAGCCAAAATTCCTGGGCAGACGGACACCCCACCTTGTCGTAGTACTCTAGGGAGCCGCATGCCAGGAGGTCCTCAGGCTCTCCCGGGCTGTAGTTGAGGCGAGAGAGACTGGTAGTGGAAATCTGCTCCATGACCTGCCAGTCCGCGCCAATCTCCACACTGCTGCTGTATTGAGTTGGCTGAGTGTAGGCAGGGTGGGGAGGGAAAGACTCAACATCAGTGGCTTGAGGACGGTGCGGTCAATGTGTGGCGTCGGGAAGCAAGCAGACCTATGCTGCGAGGAATGGAATCTATGGATGAGAATCGACTAAGATAACACCACCCTGCACATGCGCGAGGGGCGCACAACGACCATTAGAATATACTGCTGGAACAGCGCTGATATGGAAGGGGCAAAACCCACAGCCCGAGTATCCCCGCAAATCTGTTGGCTCCCAGGCGGATCTGCCGCCACAACCCAAGCAGTCTCCTGCTGCTACGTAGACTGCAGTATGAACCGAAACCTCAAGCGCGCCACCTGGGGCCAAGTTCACCTGACCGCTCACCGCGCGCCGCCTGGGGCCCTAGTGCTCAGGGCTCCTAGTCAGCCGTAGCTGACCAAAGTGTAATCTAAGAACTTTACAAGGCCGCTGGACCTAAGATGCCAGATATCCGACAGCAAATGCCGCCGCCTATGTCCTAGGAGCCTCACCCTCTGGTTGTCCCTTCCGTAAAAGTGTTGCTTCTTCTGTTGCTGAGGTCCACCTTTCTTCTTGTCAACCTCTGGACCGCCACGACCGTCCTTGCCATCGCGACGCTGCTGCTGAAAGCGCTGGTTCTGCTGGTATCTCCGACCGGCCCCAAACTTCGTAGTTTTCACCGGTCGGTTGTCTACCAAATGGAATGACTCCTCCTGCAGCGGCAACGCCGTAATACGTTAGACTCAGCCGCCGAGCCTCCCCGCCAAAACGCGTCATATATTCGCACCTCCTCATTTGCAAAGAAGTTAAAAACTGGAACACCTCCTTGTTGATAGCCGCGACCTGGGTGAGCACCGCAGTGCAGGCTTTGTAAGGGCGTCGCGATCTACATACGATGGCGGCCAAACCTTCCTCACCCGCGTACTTTGGCCCGAAAGCTCCTTGCGTCCAATCTGCGACTCTACCAAGTTTGTCGCCCTTATTGAAGGGAGCGAAGGGAATATCTTTGAGGTGCGCAGGTACAGTGCATGGGCCCCAGCCGTCGGGGTTGTCAGTCACCGCGGGCACCGGGAACGATGCAGCCATAGTGGGCTGCTGTCCAAATGCTTCACACGGTTATCTTATCTTAAGACTCTTGAAGGAGTTTAACCGTTCACCCGAGCGGGCGTATGTAGTGTAGTTTAGGAGACGGACCGATGAACGCCGTGCAACGATTACAGCAAACAACCGTAAGTAACACACGGCGCAAAATCTAAATGTCCTAAACTACTGTAATAACAATGATATCCATGCCACATAACTCGGCCAAATAATCTTGAAGGCTTTGGGCCAAGACCCCCCCGTCTCTTGGCGCCCCTTTGCCATTATTTCGTTTATTCCTAAATTCAATTCCACGTCCTGGCACGAACTGGTCAAGAGTTGGTCCGCACTTACATACTCCGTGTCCCTGTTTCAAAAAGCTTCTGGTAACTTTGAGTCGCGGAAGCCATGGCTCCGTCTCCTGAGGACGGTTATGCACCTTGGAGTAACTCCGTCGCCGATGTATTCAAGCATTTTGACGTGGACGTCAAGGAGGGGCTGACGGATGAGAAGGTTGCCGCGCGGCGAGCCCAATATGGGTACAACGAATTGGAGAAGGAAGCCAAGCAGAGCATTTGGGCAATGATTGCCGAGCAGTTTGAAGACACGTTGGTCCGCGTAAGTGGCCTCTTGAGCCAGCGATCGCTGGGCATGCGGCCGTTGAGATGTGGGAAGGAAGCAACGGCACCGTGACTTGCGTTACTGTTGTCAAGATCATGTGTCTTCACTGATTTGGTAGGGTAGGAGAATCCGGCGGTCGGCTTGAACCCTGTTGGAGCTGCGTGTCTGTGTTTGCCAGGCCGTTAACTGTTACCCTTCCACAGCTTCCCCGACCTGCGGGCTGGACTGCATCTCCTTAACTTCCTTAAATAATGTACATGCAGATTCTGTTGTTGGCAGCGATCGTATCCTTCGGCTTAGCATGGTTTGAGGAGGACTCGCACGAGGAAGGCATCCGGGCTTTCATTGAGCCGCTGGTGATCTTGTTGATTTTGGTACTCAACGCGGCGGTGGGCGTGTGGCAAGAAAGCAACGCAGAATCAGCACTAGAGGCACTGAAAGAACTTCAAACGGAGACGGCGCATGTTACACGCAACGGAAAGCTGGTAAGCATGGGTGGTGCTGGGGTCCTGGTGGAACGTGATGTCGACAGCGCATGCCGTGCGATTTGGGTCAAAGCTTAAAATTGATCATGTGAAAACAAAACTCCAGCTACGTGTTTCCGGAATCTTGAAAGGGGGATTGAAGTCACGCGCTGCTGCACCTGTTTGGTAATGGGTACGGGCCATCCTTAGCGCACGGTGGACAAAGTTTTTCTCAGCACTGGCATGCGTACCACTTGTCGAGGGGAATGCAGTCGCCTGGGAAGCCGTAACACGCGCAGGCCTCATGGTCCGCTGGAACCAGCGTTGGCCCTCTTTTTCACATTTGGGTCTGCGGTGGAGCTTCCTAAATCCTCCGCTTTTCCCATCGCTTTGGCTTTGGCTGTGCAGTTGAGCGACCTGCCCGCCCGAGAGCTGCTTCCGGGCGACGTTGTGCACCTGCATGTGGGTGACAAGGTGCCCGCGGACTGTCGCATGGTGGCGCTCAAAACCGCAACGGTGCGCGCCGAGCAGGCCAGCCTCACGGGCGAGAGTGTGGCGGTCAATAAAAGCACGGACCCCGTGGCGGATCCCAACTGCGAGCTGCAGGTGAGGAAGATGAGGGGGCCTGGGAAGCGGTGCACCTCCTGCACGAGGAAAAGCCGGGCCTTGCCGAAATCCAAATGTAAGGAGGGGCTGGGCCTCGGCTTTGAGGGGCTGGCGGTTTGGTTGAGCATTTCGTGGAAAAAGTCTAGCACAAGGGCGGAAATGAAGGAGCTTGGGACAGCTGTATACATGCAGCCGTTTGAAGGGCGTTGTCAGAGCAGAGCTCTGGGCCGAAATGGCTGGAAAGCTGTCATGGCGTCGGGGTCTGTCATGCCTCACATGCCTCACCTACGTCGAACGATGGGGAAATTCAGAAGCAATTGCGCAAAGTCCTTTGTCCCATTGCTTAGCCTTGTGATCAAATCCTTTTACGGCGTGATACTGCGACACATGTCCGGATTGCTGGGTGCACGTAGCTACACTGACTAGATGTAAGCGGCACCTGGTGCCTTTGTTAAGGATGTTGGGGTATAACACGTGTCTAATGTTTTCAGCTAGATCACAACCTGAACATGGCACGTTTTTCGGAAAGCGTAAATGCTCAGGATGCTTTTTTCTGTTGCTACTTGGCGGCTTCAAAAGAACGCATGCACGCATGGGATGTCTTCCGTGTTTAATTAAGCCATCCTCGGTGGCTGCGTGCTGCTCGGTGAATCACCTGGCCTTCATATTGATTTTTATGCATCGCGGCTGTGTGGCAGCACGCATATAGAAACGCCATGTTGATGAGTATTGTGCTACAGTTAACCCAAAAGAATTCCGACGCGCTAGGACCTAACACAGAGCCGCGTGTAACCGACCACTGTGTGCTACTGCTTCGCTGCGTCCATTGACAACCTTGCGCAAGTGACGTTGGGCTGCCGCACGCGTGGGCTGTGTTTGCGGCTGGCTTTTTTGCACCTGCCCTAATTCCTGTAGCCGTAATCCTCCGTCTGGTCGGGCTGCCTAGGCAACTGGTCTAAGCAGCTGGTGGCTTGTGCCGTTAGGTTAGGCAGGCGCTGGCCGTTGCTTGGAGCCTTACACAGGTGTTGCAGCACAGGCTTTGCGCGGCGCGGCGCTGCACTGGCACCTTCCGAACTTTTATAGCAGCGCCCTAGAAGGTCTTCGGTCCCGAACGCCGCAGGCGGAGTTGGCGTGGCCGATGATTGCCTAGCTGCTAATGTGTACTCGTGACGTGTGAAACAAGGGCACGTTGGCGCTGTGCGGCAGCCTGAAAGCCTAGTGTCCCACGGTTGCATTTCCTTTTCTCTCCGGTCTTGCTGTTGCCATATCCTTTCTAGAAGCGATATAAGGAGTTGTAGGTGTCTACCGGAGGCAGCAGGCGCGCACACGTTGGCGCCAAGGACCCCACATCGCGACCCTCTCCAAGGTTCTCTGCTTGCCTACCCATGGCTCCCCGAATCGCTGCAATTTTACCTCTTTCTACCACCGCCTCTCTCCTACTCGCCCCAATTCCTCTACGCTCTCGTTCTCTGTGGCCTCCGTCCATAGGCCAAGGAGTGCATGGTGTTCGCTGGGACGGCCATCGCCAACGGCAGCTGCACGGCAGTAGTTACATCTATCGGGATGGCGACAGAGATCGGTAAGATCCAGGCTCAGATCAGCGAGGCAGCCAAGGAGGACGATGACACGCCGCTGAAAAAGAAGCTGAACGAGTTTGGGGAGATGCTCGCAAAGGTGCGTGGGTGCCGACCGGTTTGGAGGAAATAGGGCCCCTGCGGATGGTGGTGGGGCTTGTCCCTCTCTGGGGTGGGCAGCAGGGTTTCGGAGCCGCCCTAGGAAGCGGTCCATCTGCCCCCAAGCTTGGCACGGTCCAGCATCTGATATAATGGTACACGAAGGCGCCTGACACGAGATGGCGTTTCGTGGCTGGGAATCAGCGGTTTTCCTTCTTGGATTGGCTTCGTGACATCTCATTGTGGACGTTGCCGACGCCGCTGAATCAGCATCCCCGCGTCGGTCACCAGACTGGAAGCAACAGGCTACGGTTTGCGTTTAGAAGCTGCAACAGAGTTGCCAAATGGATGCTGTGCCAAAAATTCCAGGTCGTCTTCTTTCCTTCCCGTTTCCCTGCATGCCCTGAGCCCGTTCGCGCCTCAACCTAACCCCGCTTTCCCAACCAACGCAGGTGATCGCGGCTATTTGCGTCATTGTCTGGCTCATCAATTACCACCATTTCCTCACCATTACTTTCAAGCCCGAGGGCGGCCTCCCGACCTTCAGCTTTAACCTTTCCAAGGTGAGGCGCGTGCTGCCATAGCAGCCATGACCAGCGTTAGCAGGTGCCGTGCTTTGCCTTGCAGCCGGCAAGCCCAAGAAATAAATCGTCCGCACAAGTTCTCACAGAGGCGGCACAAGTTCTCAAAGGGGCGTCAGCATGTCCCCTTCTTCACATAGACGATAGACAGACACATAAGAACGCATTGCTCGTTGAGGGTTGCCCTCCACTGTGGTCGGAAGGAGCTCCTTTGAAGGCCACTTGTCCCTCCCTCCGTGCAGCTAATCTGTGTTTTATCTATCTGCTTAAGCGTTATCTTCCACTGCTACTTTACCTTGCCAGGCCACGTACTATTTCAAGATTGCGGTGGCGCTGGCAGTGGCGGCTATCCCTGAGGGCCTGCCGGCTGTCATTACCACGTGTCTGGCGCTAGGTACCCGCACCATGGCCAAGAAGAATGCCATCGTCAGGTGCGTGTGTGTGTGTGTGTGTGTGTGTCAGGTGTGTGTGAAAAAATGAAATATACGTTTTGCAGAGAGCCTTGTTCCATGATGGTGGGAGGGGGTAACATTGCCAAGGAAGTGTATTATTATAGGTGGCACGGGCCATGGCAGGCAGTGTATTGACTATTTTCAAGGATGTCAGTCGAGCACCGCAGCCTTCATCAGTGAAGCAGCAGCAACAGAAGGACGAGCGGGCGTTCCTCCTCGTCTGCTGTTAAGGTCTCCCGCGTCAGTAGGTTGATTCTTGCACCTTCTGCATACGCGGCTACGCAAGTCCGTAGCCAACCTTCGCCCCTTGTGTCATTCGCGCCTGGGTCTTTCGTGGGTCGTGCATTTGTCCCTCCTTACCCCGACCCTTCCATCCTGACGTCGGAACCTCTTCCACCGCCTCTACTTCTTCCACCATCAGGAAACTGCCCTCCGTGGAAACACTGGGATGCACCACCGTGATCTGCTCCGACAAGACCGGCACACTGACCACCAATCAGATGAGTGCCGTCGCGCTGACGGCCTTTGAGGGCCCCAACGGCACCAGCATGCGGCGCTGGGTGGTAGCGGGCCATACATACAATCCCGATGAGGGCGAGGTGGAGGGCCTGGCGCCTGGGGCCGCACTGGACAAGGCCCTGCAGGTGAGGTGAAGTCGAAGAAGTTGGTCAAATATAATAGACCTGATTGTGAATACCGTTTCCAGGCTTGCTGTGCGCTCAGGTTTGTATTTGCACCTTCCTTGCGTCCTGGCCGGGCTCTGGTGCAGCTCCAGTTGGCGGTCTTCTTCCGATGACTCCTGCCCGCCATCCTTTCCTCTTCGCTCGCAGACCATCGCGGAGGTGTGCGCCGTCTGCAGCGAGGCCCAGTTGGAGTTCAAGGTACGGTTCGGACCTGCGGTGCACAGCAGCCTCCGCATCTGCGCAGCACCACGTTCTGCTCCATGTGTTCGAAGTCCAGGCCCATGCTGGGCCGTGGCATCCTATTCTGCGGCGGGTGGCGGACAGCCGAGTAGCACTAGCACCTGGACAGTTTTGGCATGTATCGGCACATGTCGAGGTGCTGTTTCGCCAGAGTCGCCGCAGCTACTGCCAGCACCTCATCCTGGCTGTTGTAATGCTTGGTTGTCATCTTGAGTCGTGGAGCTTAATACTGTGCGCCCTCGTCCATGCATGATGTTCTCCCGCAGGGCAGCGCCTTCCGGGCCGTGGGTGCCCCCACCGAGGCGGCGCTGCTGGTTCTGGCGGAGAAGCTGGGCCTGCAGGATCCCAGAGAGACGGCTGCTGCGCGCAAGAAGCGCACTGCCACGCCAGAGGAACACCCTCAGCCGGTCTCCCAGGTGGGTGGGTGATGGGTGAGTGATTGGGACATTGCTATGAAGTGACCGGCGGCTGGTGGTGACGGAGTAACTGCTTAGCACTAGCAAGTGTTGCCAAACAATCCGGGTTGGCAGCCTGTGTGAATGAGTGGCTACATCGTCACCAACCTCGCAAGGGCGCCTGCCGTGGCACAGGACGGCAAGGCATGGCATTTCTCGTATTGAAGGAAGAGTCCTTCGACGCTCTTGCAAAACTCAACTGCATATTTCGACCCGGCGCATATCACCCGGCAGCTCAAGAGCACCTTAGGCGAGCGGTTCCTATTGCTTGTGTTGAGCTTCGGTACGACCACCACGTCCGCCTGGCCGCGCTCCTTCCCCGCCCCTCTACCAAACGCAAGTAACGCCTTCTCCTGGGTCCTGGTCGTTCTTCTGCTCATGCGTCGTGTTCGTGTCTCCTGTTTTTCCCTAATCCTGCACCCGGTGTTCGCTGTTGCTGCTTTTCCGCCTTCCTCTACAGGCCTACCGCGAGCGGGCACCCATCAAGGCTACCTTGGAGTTTGACCGCGACCGCAAGTCCATGAGCGTGCTGGTGCGGCCCGCGGGCTCGGCCAAGAACTCGCTGCTGGTCAAGGGAGCGGCTGAGTGCGTCATTGAGCGCTCCACTAGGTCAGTGGGGCGGGAAGGAGACGAACTGCCACGATGCACAGAGAATCTGCGATGCGGATCGGATCGGTGCACTCCGTATCTCCGAGATCTAGGCTGGTTTGGAGTCTGAAACATTGGTTATGTGCTGCGGCGAGGATGCAGTTGCAGGCCGTCGGGCGCGTGAGGGCGGGTGCTGCGGATTACGGGAATGGTGCTGGGCTGAGGCCAGCATGACCCTTATCTTGGCCTCCCCTTGCTCCATCGCGACCGGCGTCTTTCCGCATCCGTGTGTGGCTTTAATGGATGCCTCAGTTTCAATGCCAATCGCGGGTTTTTTGGCCGACAAATTCGGAGAAGTTTTTCACTCCGCCCTAGCCAGAACCCTATTTCCATTCCTTAGCCACCGAACCTCTCTCCTAGACATCTTCCGCAACTTTTATCCAGCCACTTTGGCATTGGCTTGAATCCGTTTCTCACGGTTGCTGTGCCCCACAGGATGATGCTGCCCGATGGCCGTATTGTGCCCCTGACCGACGCCGCGAGGTCCGCCGTGCTGGGCGCCGTGCAAGGCATGGCGCGTGACGCGCTGCGGTGCCTGGCAATTGCCGTCAAGGTGCGCTCGCTGCCGGCGAAGGCCCCGGGGCGGGTCCTGGGCTTTTGTTGGGTTTTGGGGGTCGTTTGCGGGGAAATCGAAGAGGAAAACCCTAACTTCTGAGCAGGCTGGGCAAAAGGATTTTGGAGATAACGAGAGCAGGTATGTATTGCTTGGGACCTGCTCTGTGAACCGAAGATTTCCTTTTCAGCGTCGTTTGGATGTATGGAAGTACTCTCTATGGACGGTTTGCAAGGCGGTATGTTCGCACACATGCGCGTTTGCTAAGGATTATCGTTTATTAATTTATCTTGGATCCCATGCATCTCATGTTGTGTTGAAGGTCCATCGCTATGTTTTGCTCAATCCCTCCTCCCCGCGAACGCCTCTTGGTCAGTTCTGCTCCTGGTACACTCTTGCCCTGGCAGCAGCTTCACCCGTTCGTGGTTCGTCTTTCCCCCGCGAACGCCAGTCTTATGCACCCCTTCCATACCCCATCCCGCCTGACTCTCCGTGGTGCCTTCGGCGCCGGCTACTTCTGTTTCATAGCCCGACGTGCCGTCACCGCTTGCCGAGTACAACGGCGACTCGCACCACCCCGCCATGAAGCTGCTGCGCGACCCGGCCACCTATGCTAGTGTGGAGTCCGACCTGGTGCTCGTGGGCCTTGCGGGCCTGCAGGTGCGTCCTCTGTGCTCTGGATTCGCACTTTCAATTTTTCCTCCAGGGATCAAGGGGAGTTGGGAAAACTAGAGGAAGGATAAAGATGTTGAAAGCGATGTCGATTGGCATGGGAATGGATATTTGGCGGATATCACATATCTGGCGGATGAGGTGGGAAAGCCTTAGGGGTGCGGCGCAGCGAGTCCTCGCTATTGAGACCTACCCTGACCTGATCCGTGTTGGAGCGTGTGCAAAGGGATGACGTAAGGGTATCAGGCCTCTTAGAACCTGTTCCGGAGCTTTGGGGCCGTTGTTGCAGAATTTTCTTGTGCCGCAGCTAAAAATTCGCTGTCCCTACTGAAATTTTTGTTTGTAGAATTGTTTGCAATTAGTCTGTGACCACGTGTATGCGTGGGTGGGGGCCGGACTTCCTCGCTTGACCATGTACCATCGGTGCATTAATTGCATTGCGATGTACTGACGTATACCTGGCTCTGCATTTGCTTTTCGGCGTCTCGTGTGGCGCTGCAGGACCCGCCGCGCCCCGAAGTTCGGCCCGCTATTGAGAACTGCAAGCAAGCAGGTACGGGCCTTGTGGCCGGGAGGGTGGGCTCTACCTCAGCATGTTCAGATGTTCCAGATGTGTCGATTGTGCGCGGCATGGCCTATAGGACTTGAGGCGGGCACTTGCATTAGCACATGCCTCCCTTTGAATGCCAACTCTCGGTTAAGGACTGCGGGGGAGGGCATTCAACTGCACGCAAGCGAACCGCGATACAGGCAACGCTATGCTAGCACCAGGAAGTGCTACGGCACAGCTGTCGCGTCTTTCAGGACCTGGAGCATCGTTTTCCCTTCCCGATGGGCGACGGCATGTGCTTGCAAACCCCTCTCTACATGCCTTTTACAGAGCTTAGTTACCGTGACAGCAGCATGTTGGCTGTAGGGTATGACCACATGCTACTGCCCGCCTCATCGCGGCGTGCGTCTTTGTCAGGATTGACAGAAGGGTATTCTGCTGCTCACCTACCTACGCCTCTACTTCACTCCAGACCTCCCTCCGCTTCCTCAACTCGTACACAGGCATCCGGGTGATGGTTATCACGGGCGACAACAAGGACACCGCAGAGGCTATCTGCACAAAGATTGGCGTCTTCCAGTGAGATCTCGGGGGGTGGAGAAAGCGTTTGCTTCGTTGTTTTGTTTGTTCGTAAGGTCGCACATCACCAACGGCGGTTTTGTGAAGTGCCCGTGTGTATGTCGAAGGTTTTGGGCAGGCTGCATTCCTGAGCGGTTTCCAAATCCAGGCAGAATACTACGTGGGATGATATAATGACGGTGAAACGCCGTATTGTCTATATTGCGGAATGTTCAGAAGGATAGGCCTTGAGGCCAGGGGTCTGTTTGATTTCCTTGAAAAGCGAGGGGGTAGGGCGCGGGTGAGCGTAAAGCACCTGCTTCGTCGCATGCCCGGCAAGGCTACTTCGCGTGCGCCTCCAAGTGCCTGTATTCTTGCAAGGAATGTGCACTTTCGTTGGGTGCAATGCTATGTGGGACATTACGTGCTTTAGGGAACGTGGCTTTCGCAGAGCCTGCTCCAACAACCCCAACGCCTTCCTCCTCGTCACAGGCCTGGCGACGACCTCTCCTCCGTCAGCTTTACTGGTAAGGCAGTCGCACGCCGTGCTAATCAATGCCTGTCAATATCCTTGGCCTTGGCGATCAATGGCTTTACTATTCCCTTGCATCAGCGCTTGGCCTGCGTCGGGTTCCGTAGGGCTGCACTTCGCCAGCGCCAGGCCTGACCAAGCCTTGTAGCACAATCGCTCGCACACACGTGGCAACCATGCGCACGCGCACCCCTCTATTTACATGTCTTCTTGAGCATCAGGCATCCGCGCACAAACCCGTGCAGGCCGCGCGTTCGTGGCTCTTCCTCGCGAGCGGCAGTTGGAGCTGCTGGCAGCAGCCCCCGCAATGTGCTTCAGCCGTGCGGAGCCCCGCCATAAGCAGGTAGGGGTGTGGCTACGGGACAGGAACCGGATAATGGAGAAGGTGTGGGAAGGACGGGAGGGTGCTCCTCAGGAAAGGAAAAGGGATCCCTTAGTTAGGGCCCACCCGCAGGAATCGGCTGTTCGCCCTTCTTGGAGGGTTGCGGATGTTCTCCATGCAACGTTGCTGGCTGCGAGAGGCTGCTGCAACTCCTGGCTCTGCTCCTGCTATTACCGGCGCTTATGCTAGTTTTGTTTTCCGTGCGGTTTTTGGAACTGCCACTGCATTTCCTGCTGTAGGACATTGTGCGACTGCTGAAGGAGCAGGGCGAGGTGGCGGCCATGACAGGCGACGGTGTCAACGACGCACCGGCGCTGAAGCTCGCGGACATTGGCGTTGCCATGGGCATTGCGGGTAGGGCAACTGGAGGGGATGAATGCTGGTTATGTTAGTAGGATTTTAAAAGCATTGTATTATTTGTTTATTGCTTAGGGCGCCCGTATCTGATGTGTTTTCTCTCTTTTTTTCCTCAGTTATTCCCCCATGCAACCCCCAGGCACTGAAGTAGCCAAGGAAGCCTCCGACATGGTCCTCGCGGACGACAACTTCTCGTCCATCGTGGCGGCCGTTGCAGAGGGGCGCGCCATCTACAACAACATGAAGGCATTCATCAGGTAATGCGCGTTGTGTGTACGCGTTGTGTGGCGAAGAATTCTGTCGTGTGCATCTGCGGCAGCTGTGGATGGTGGGACCCCTTTGCCCGATGCCAATAGTGCGCTTTGTCCGTGCGCCTGTGCCCAGCCGCATGCGTGCCATAGTTCAAAAAAGATGAAAAGAAAGGAGTATTCTAATCTGCCCGTCTTTTGAGCCCTGACTCAGGGATTCGCAACACAGCCAGTACAGAGTGCACCCCTCTTTCCCCTCCGCCGCACCAAACCCTCCGGCGCTATGCTCTGTCCACACGTCCCAACATCGCTCCAGTTTCAGGGGTCTTCCACCATTCAGGTTTCCGGGTCAGGCCAAACGGGGCCCACTCCATTGATTGACCCTCAAGCTCTACCGTAGCCTGGCTTTTTGTCTTTGCTAAGCTTGGCGCTTCCCTGTTGGACTGGATCGGGCCATCGCTTCAATGACCTGGATATTGAGCATCCACAGCTCTACTAGCAACTTCCCTCAGTCCAAGCACGCCCAAACCCTGAACCAAACCAATATGTTCCGCACACAGGTACATGATCTCTTCCAACATCGGCGAGGTGGCGTCCATCTTCCTGACCGCCGCGCTGGGCCTGCCGGAGGGCTTGATCCCTGTGCAGGTAAGCGCTGGTTCGGTTTCCCCGAGTGAGGAGGAGTGCAGGAGGAGGGGCGCAGGAGAGAGGGGCTCCGGGAGAGGCGAAAGCCACCCGGTGCGGTGATTGTCGTCATGTACCGTTTGACGACGATGTCTCACCAGGATCCACGCCAGACGCCAGCGCCCTGGCAATCCGTGTACCGGCCATCCGGCACCATGCAGTGCAGCCCGTCACCGCGCGCACAACCGTCTTTCCACAGGTTGTCCGAGGCATCTTCTGTAACCTGCCCTGCCTCCCCATTTCCCCCTATCGTCGTTGCCGGTGACTTACAGCTGCATTTTCTCACCTTATGCCCACTCACCGATTTACCAGTCCCGGCTGCGCTTGGGTCTTGCCCGAGCTCAGTTTTAATTTGATGCCGTCTTCCTTCGCCTATTCAAGATCAGCGTTGTTTCTCGTGTCTTCGTGCTCTTTCTCTCTTACAATTTTAGCAGGAGTAACCTACTCTTGTCCCCGCTCCTGCCAATCGCAGCTGCTGTGGGTAAACCTGGTGACCGACGGACCTCCTGCCACTGCGCTGGGCTTTAACCCGCCTGACAAGGACATCATGAGCCGGCCGCCGCGCCGTGCCAACGACCAGCTCATCACACCCTGGGTGTTCTTCCGTTACATGGTCATTGGCGGCTATGTGGGCGTTGCGACGGTGGGTGCAGAGAGGAAAATGTGAAGGGGGGTGGAGGTGTTGGGTGGCTGGGCATGGGGATGGGCAAGGAGTCTCAGGGATGGCAAGTGTGGTGGGGATGAGTAGAATCCCGTGCCAAGGCCAGGCGTTTCGTGAAAGCGCTCTCATTGCCCTGGAAAGGGCCTTTGCGGCTTTCTGACGGTACAGCTCAACTTCGGCGTTGAGAAGGATATGGGAACCAATCTTGTACCGCGCTCCAGCACGAAGAAGGGGGACTGGCCTTACTCCCGAATGTGACGTGTCTACCCGTACATTCCATGCTGCATGCAGGTCGGCGCGTTTGTGTCATGGTACATGTTCGACCATTTTGTGGGCATCGACCTATCGCGTGACGGCCACACCACTGTCACATGGGAGCAGCTCACCAACTGGCAGCAGTGTCGGGAGTGGGGCAACTTCACTGCTGCACCGTACAAGCTGGCAGGTGAGTGTGCCACTGCAGAGGAGCTTCCCTATTCGCCTTCCAGGCAGCCTGTCGTAATGCTACCTGTCTGTCGTGTGTTACAACTTCGCTCGACTTCGATCTTTCGAGCATAGAACGTTATCACGCAGAAACGACCCTTATGATTTTCGCGGCATGACGTGGCAGCGCTTGCATTCCATCGCATCTGTGTTGCAGGCGGCGGGCAGGTGTCCCTCGCGCACCCCTGCGAGTACTTCTCCGTCGGCAAGGCCAAAGCCTCGACTCTGTCTCTGTCCGTTATTGTCGCCATCGAGATGTTCAACGCGCTCAATGCTCTGTCCGAGGACGGCTCCCTGCTGGCCATGCCGCCCTGGTCCAACCCCTGGCTCCTCACCGCCATCTCCGTCTCTGTGGCGCTGCATTGTGTCATCCTCTACGTGCCCTTCCTGGCCGACGTTTTCGCAATCGTGCCGCTGTCCTGGCCGGAATGGCAGCTGGTGCTGCTCTGGTCAGCGCCTGTGATTCTGCTGGATGAGGTGCTCAAGTTCGTGGGCCGGATCATTCACGCGCCGCGATCTCGGGCAGGGCCCAAGGGTGCTGGTGCCACCAGGGACAAGAAGAACAACTGATGGCCAAGCTGCCGAATCAGGCCTGGCCAGCAGCGGCTGGGCTGACTAGGGCGCGCACATAGAACGCGGTGCAGGGTTCACATAAGTTATTTAACTCCACATCCACAATGCAATACAGTGCTGTGGCAGACGGACAAGGCAGACAGAGAGTAGCTTCCGAGGACGGGAGTGCGTACCGTTTTGTCTGGCAAACATGCGCACCTCCTTTTCCTTTTAATGCCCATGTCACAGTGTGTGGCTGTCACGAAATGATGTCAACTGGAGGAAAAGGAGGAGGGAGAAGAGGGTCTTGCGAAAGGTGGTGTAGAGCGAGCGCGGATCGTGAGAGCGCGGCGGCGCGAGGCGTGCGTTGCAGACCAAAGTTGTTATTTGGAGCAAGTGTTTGGTATGCACACGGAGCAGCTCGGGAGAGCGCAAGTCCAGGGGCCTTCTGCGACTGCCTGCCTGCATTACTGACTCTTCCAACACATTCAGTTCACAGCGAGGTGATTCTAGCGGGCGGTTGGTTTGGGCTTGGGGTCATTAAGTCGGCTACCTTTCTGCTAGGTTCCCTCAGCGCTGTACAGACTTATGTACCCGCGGTGTCTATGTGGGTCGTCATTGACATTCGGGGCCGCCACGCGCGCATGTGCTGCAAGGGTCACCACGAGTAGTCACCGAGTGCCAAGAGCGGGGTGACGAGGATGAGGCTGACGTATCACTCACTACCTTGGGACTGCGTTGGCTGGACGTTGAGCACGTGGGAGAACCGGGTTTGCTATCGCGTGCCAAGCCTTGCAAGCAACAGCGCTGGAGAACGGGCGGGCAACATTCAGCAGCGCCTGTATACGTGTCTTGGCGAAAGGTGGGGTTTCCGTGGGGTACAGACTGGAACCAAACCGGCCGGGTGTAGCGCAGCAGACAGAGAGGAAGGGGTGTACCCCGTGTGAACCATCACGGCATGCACGACGCATGCCTGATATAGAGTGCGCTCCCGGCATTCTTGCCTATCGCGGGAACGGGATTGCTTTCGCTGTTCGGACGCAGCCATGGGAAAGGGAGCGGTGTACTATGACCTTGTCTCGATGTCCAAACGTCATAATGTCAATGGTTCTGATAACAATGGGAGTGCACAGTCGTAAATATGACCGAGGCGAATCCCACGCTTCAGCACCTAGAGGACTTGAAGACTTGAGGTTCCGGTGTGCTGCGGATGTAACGGAATTAACACTGTGCCAAGCGGGCGAGCGTATGGGTGCAGAAAAAGCGGCTTTTATGGAACAGAGTGTTTCGGTTGAAGCGGAGTTGCTCCGAGGCCTGGGCATGAGTCTCATGAGTGACGCGTACCTGGCTGAGGGTTAGAGACAAGCGACGGCCTTCCATCTACGCTGAGGAAGTGCGAAATTGAAAGAGCCTGGCGGGGGCAGTGTGGCAGAAGTGTTTGTTTGCTGTTTACTGTCTAGATCTCGGTCTGTCGTGTATAGTCCTCCATGTCTTTGATTTCATCGTCATTACATGAACTAAGCAATCGAACTACAACGCCGCTTGCAACGTACACACATCTTACGTGTAAATTAAAACTGCACTTATGCATCAGGCGATAACCACTATTCGTCTAGTTCATGTCACCAAGCACACCAAGCATCAAGGTAAAGCAGCATGGAGAAGCAATAGGCTAGACCTGCTTAAAGAAAGGTTGAAGGGTATTAACAGTAAAACGGTGTACACAGCAAACCTGGCAGCCGACCACACTGCGGTGCACGAAACACTGGAAACGGGCAGCACAAGGGGACCGGATCCCAGCCCGTAAGACGACGTAGACGAGCGACACAATCAAAAAGGAGAAGAAGGCGGGCAGTGGGGATGAGCACCAAGAGGCGTACAGTAGCGGTGGTGTCGTACCGTAGTACTGTAGTATGATATTTGAGTACGGCTAGTAAAGCTCTGTTACCTTGTCTCGATGCCAAACCGCGCGGGCCGCCGCCCGCCAGCGCATATTCCAAACTTTTCGCATATAGAGACGGCTATTGGGGGCCCACTACTACAGCCCTTAGACATTTGACTTCAGAGATCT